CTTAGGATGTGCTCAGTAAAAATCTAATTGCTCTGAAACACCCCTTAGCAACCATCCAAGAACGTTCTTCTCCAAATACCAGCTCTGTGAAAGTACTTTGCTGTCAGAAACCCCTGTATAGAAATTTTGCAGTAACAGAAGTGCAGTCTTTGAAATGATGATAAATTAAGAGTGAAATTCTCTTTGTATTTACTCAGCAATTAATTCTTAAAACATGGTAAAAGGCTAACCCCTGATGCAAGTGAAGTAGACTGCAAGGCTTGTTAAAGAGTAATTAGTGTTCAATAATTTCTGTACATGGAATTGTATAAATACTAAGCACCAGGGAAATGTGCTCTAAGAATTAAGAGAAATCCTCATAATGACTCTTCACTCATACAGACTTGTAGATTAAAACAGCATTTGAGACATTGATGTGTTGTATGCTCGGGGGGATAAAAGTCCTAAATTAAAAAAGGGGTAACAGGTTCAAACTTAAACAGGGGAAGTTTAGATTAGATACAAGGAAGAAGTTCTTTACAGTGAGGGTGGTGAGGCACTGGAGTGGGTTGCCCAAGGAAGTTGTGAATGCTCCATCCCTGGCAGTGTTCAAGGCCAGGTTGGACAGAGCCTTGCGTAGCAACATGGTTTAGTGCGAGTTGTCCCTGCCCATGGCATGGGGGTTGGAACTAGATGATCTTAAGGTCCTTTCCAACCAAAACCATTCTATGATTCTATGAAAACTAGGAAGAGGAGTAGTCCTTGTGCTGTGACCAGTGGAAGGAAATAGATATATGTGATATGACGTTGAAAACAGCCTTGTAATCTTGATTAATGGGAGTGCCTGCAGAAAAAGATAGAGGTGTTTGGCAAAACACTGACACAATCAATACCACTTTGAAATGATTATGTGTCTTGCTACATTGTCTTGCTGGTTAAAGAGAAATGAGTACACGGACATATCCAAGTATTTAGTCCAGCAACTCGATGTAATGCAGTTAGAACAAGTAAAATATCAATACATAACTTCTTTTCACTCACAGGACCAAATGATGGTATATTATATCAAATGATCATAGGAATTGATCATCCTTTCCCTATCTGCCTCCAGCTCCTGTCAAATGAAAATCTGGCTTAATTAAATCCTTTTTAGTGATCCTTTTCAGTGAGTCAGGACATCTAAAATCAAGACAAAATACTTAATGTATGTCACAGTTACTTGGTGAAAATTCTAGCTGATTAGCAAGGAGCTTCAGCACCCACTTCAGACATAGTAATTAAAAAGATACTTGAGACAGTCCGCTTAAATACTGCATCTCATGTGGGGTTCAGAGACCTGCCAGTGCTGCTTGGTAATAGCCTTGGCTTTCCTCTGTACTGTCAGATCCATGGAGGAGAATTTCACAGTTGTGTGGCTTGTTGTCTCTGCAAGACATTCTTCCATGTGGGTTTAAGCTCTCTGTTGCTGAAAAAAAATCATTGTGCCTTCAGGTCAATAAGCTAATTTTACCTGGATAAATTATGGGTCAATTTATCCAGCTTGCAATTGTCCTGTATGCAGTAAAGAGGGGGATATGTGCCTACATGTCTGCAGATAAAGTTTTATTTTCACCATAAGGCTGTTTACAGCACAAAGTAAAGAACACTAACAAAACTTGCTGATAAGTTTCGTACTTATAATAGTAACTCTGTAGAAGTGACCTGGAAAGTTTTGCGTTAGCTGCTGGTGTATATTTTCAGGAAAAAAATGTGAACACTCCCAGCTGAAACTCTCTGTAAGAATTTGGAAGCTCTGGAGAGCTGAGCTGATGAAACAGTTGTTCGTCATTCCGAAACCTGCACCCTTGCTTCATTCTAATAATAGTTATATATAACCTGCTCTGCGCTTGCTTTTGGTTTGTTCTTATTATTTTTTTTTATTCTGAATGTTTAGCAGTTTCTGCATTTGAAGAATTTTAAAGCGAAATATGTCTGTTAATGAAATAACCCATTGATGATGCTGTCAAAGGTTTTAGAAATTATTTCCCAAAATATTCTGAATCCTTCTTTGATAATTAGGAATTGTCGTTATCTGCCGCTCAGGAATTTAGGGGGGAAAAATGAAGTTATGGAAAGTTCATGCATGAATGTGGTCATCACTGAAGATCAAGAAAGTAATCTGTTCAGGTCATTGGACATCCATCATCAACACGTACATAACTGCACAAGTTCCATTTCATTGCTGTCGGGTGTCGAATGGAGCAATACTTTTTCCATCGTGCTGATGGATGCAGATGCACATTCTGAGCTCTGACCTCAAATTGCAGCAACAGCACTGCAACATACTTCTGGCATATTTTTCCTAAAGAGGTCATTATGGATGACTGAGAGTCCTGCATGGAAACATGTCTTAATATGTAATAAAGATTCTTTAACGTGTTGCTCACTTCAAAGCTAATACCTTTGAAAATGAAGTAAAATCATGAAATAGTAAATGAGAAAAATGCCCAACTGGAGAAGGCTGCACAGGCTCTGATCGTTCTCTGTTATCTCTGTTATCACAATTAGCAGTGATAGATGCTATTGTAATTAATTTATAAAAGGTAAAATTAATTTATAAAAGGTAAATCTCATGGGAATAAGGGCTGAAGGACTGAGGCCTTTGCAAATGGGTATATGGCAGCTCTCTCCTGTCAGCAAATTTTGTGTAGATCAACAGTCTGAGGCTTATAAACTGCTTCAAAGGCACAATAAATACTGGGTTTTGATATAAGACACTGCATGTAGATATGTGGTGGTGGACAAAAATTGAGATGAGGATCTCATATATGTTACAGGCCTAAAGGAACACAGTGTTATTCTCAGTCTACCTTCTGTCTTAAATAGTTGATGCTAATTAAAAAGGTCAAGCATTTCCTGTAAACCCAGGTGTCTGATTCAGATTTCTGGCAGAGGGAAGAAGGATCAAACCCTCTTATTGTAGCCTTTCCTCTTTTATTAATGTAACATTGCACAGTACTTTATTCTTTCCCACAAAATATCACCTGCAACGGTATTTGAACTTAAAATACGTGAACTTGAAAATATATTTGAACTTGAGTGTTTCTCTTGGTTCTGATACCTCTGTTTGAAATCTCAGCTTATGTGTCATCAGAGCCTGGCTGATACCTTTTGTTGGGTACCAGGTGTACCTGCAAGCGGGTTCAGAGACTAATCTGAACTGCTGGGGGTATTTGTTGCTTGGCCACTGGGTTGTGTTGCCATTTAGCTTGAAATCAAGTTCACTGCTTTCCTGTTTACTTTGTTATTTAAATATTGTGATAATGGTACATGAAATGGAAATATTTCAGTGTGAGCATTCTAATTTCATAAACATTTACTGGTTCTTCATAGGTGTTAGTGTTAGCTTTGCACTAAGTATAGGAAATTTTCATTAGTGGGCATAAGATTAGAGAGTCGCTTTAAACCACTTCTTTTGGTAGAGAAAAATGCAGAAATGAGACCATCTCACTCTTAGCTGAATTCTGATTTGAGTTGGGCAGATGAGGGAAGAAAGGAACAGACTTGGAAGTCTGGTGCTTGCTTTCTCTGGTGGGGAATGCTCTGTGGTTGTTCTGATGCTGGCTGGGAAGGAAGCATGCTGAATGGTTCAAGTGAAATGCAATTTGTTTTCTTCCTTTTTCAAACATCCACTACAATACAAAAGACTGCAGACAGTTGTGATAAAAGATGCTACCTTAGTCCTTTTTCCAGCAGAGGAGTGGCAAGAATGAAATTCCAGTGTGAATCTTTCTCAAGGGCATAAGGGATTAATACGTCTTAAAATAGACACCATCAACTTAGAAATGTATTTTCCACTCTTGAATATGATGAATTTTGCAGTGAAAAGATTTGGGGAAAAAAATGGTGTTTTTTCTTTTCTTCCAGCTTGTTTATGAATTTTGAGATAATCTTTTTACGAGATGATAGTCAAATTCTGCAGAGTTATAAGAGCTGTTGTGGGTTTATGTGCTGAAGGAGTCTTGCATGCTTCTGTTTTACAGAGTTATTTTAGATGCTGGTGATTACATGGCACCAGAAACTCTTTTTTGCTGGTAGGACCACGAGGCAACCTGGAGGTGGGCACTGAGCTTGCAGGGGGGCATGCACTGCCTTCAGGACAGGTGATGGTGGAAGCGGGGTGAAACACTGCCTGTTTCAACTATACGCTTCAGGGGATAGGGATCTTTGTGTAGGGATCTTCTTTTTCCGAGTCTCCAGCAGCAAGGTTTTTGTTCTTTTAATTCACTAGATTACATTCTGCCAGCTCAGTTAATAACTCAGATATTTGTCCAGAGCAAACCTAGGCAGAAGGACTTGAAATTGGCAGCTCTGGTCGTGTAACGGAGCAGCTGAGCATATGCAGCACTCCCTCCCACTGATGGGCAGTGACGCCAGCACTGCCAGAGGAATGAGCATGGCATATTGTTTCTCCCGTATGCCTGATTATTTATTTATGCATTCCGATTCATAATAGCATAATAACAGACTTGAAACAATAAGATAATTATTTCGCTTCTTGGGTGGTTAAAATTAACTGTGCTCATTGCATATTTATTCAGTAAAAAGATACACGATGTTTAGTAATTGCCCAGAAATTCATTATCTGCATAATGTTCTGTTTCTAAATGTGTATGGCATGACCATTAATCTGTGCCAACAGCAAGCATGCAGCAGTATCTGATGTAATTAGTTTCCCCCTTACATGCCAAGGAGAACATCTGGGCTAATTGTGTGTTGTTGACAAAAGTTGCCATTCTAATGGGGGTCTCTGTTTCTGCACATACACACTCATTATATCTACAAACATACTCATGATTTCAGTTTATCCTCAAGCAAACTGATAGTTCTTCCTGATGAGGTGCGCTTGGTGGTGTGTTACTGGGGTCATACAGTGTTTGTGGGCAGCATTAGTAAATGTTAGCAGGGATAATACGCTCTCCTTTTAAACAGAAAACAAACAAACCTGTAATGCTGCTTCTTCTGTTTTGTTTTTCCAGCCACCACTGGTCCAAGCAATTTTCAGTGGTGATCCAGAAGAGATACGGATGTTGATCTACAAAACTGAGGATGTCAACGCCTTGGTATGTGACTTGGCATGTTACATGCTTGTGATACGTAATCACCATGCTTATGAACTGTTGCAATGACAGCATTAATCATGTTCTTGCTAATTAACATGTAACAGAATGGAAATGATTTGGAAGTTAGAGATGTTGGGATTCAGTGGAATCCTAATTGGTTCCCTTGAAATATAATTATCTCAAGCAGGTGACTTTAAATTTTCTCAGTGTATGGTAATTATTCCAAATGTGCAGGTCAGTCGGGGACATTGTTTGCTCCCTTACTGAGAAAATGAATGAAAATAGCTGAAAGCTGCATGTTTTTACTCTCTGTAGAGTTTCCTTTTATGAAGAGTCTTTGTGGATCGGGAGCTACTATTCAGCATTTGACTATACTTGAAATAAAGCTTCACTATAAGTCTCAGCAGTGAGAGTAAGGAAGCAGTATCTTGGCCACGATTTGCCCACAAAGGAATTACTGTTCTGCAGATTGACTTATTCTAGCCAGAACAATGGTAAGCAGCTGTAAACAGGTAGTGGTGAAGTGTTTGGCAGTGAAAAAAAAATCTTCACTTGGTCTTTTTGCATAAGCTTGGGTTCTCTCCTCTCCCCCACCTTTGATTTTAACTTAAATCCTTACTGTTAGAAATGAACTCTGCTGGTCCTGACTACCATTTGTGGCCCCTGAAAGTGATGAGAATATAAAGCAGAAGCAGAACGATGATTTCCAGGTGTTTCCTGAGCTTTTGAATCAACCTTCCTTTTCTTTATGTCTCTTTCTGACATAAAGCCATCAGTTTATTCATAGCTAACCCCAGCAGTTTGTCTGGTGTAGTCTTGTCGCTGCAGCTTTTGCAGGCAGTGAGGTCCAACCATCTGGTTCAAAGCTGCAGAAGGGAACTGGAGAAGTGATTCTACAGATCTAGTTAACTGGGGCTCCACTCCATTTGCTGTCAAGTGGAAGGAAAGACTTGTTGCTCTTTTAAATGCAGAATCTGATCAAACATGACCTTGATGTTAAGCTTTCCTTTTGATTATCAGTACCTGGTTGCTTTCTTCAAAGAACTTCCTGAAAGTGCTTCCTTAAAGTATCATCTCCTTTGAGTTTCTTCCTTGTTTGTTTTCACCAATGATCTCAAACAGCCAAAGAAACAAACCAAAACCATCCAAGCAATAAAAAACCCTTAACTTTAATGAACATGACAGTCCTAAATTTTCCTCTATATTTCACTTTGTTTTTTTCAAAATAGCATTTCCTGTAGAAGGTTATTGCAGGCTTCTCAAATGTTTTTATATCCTTTAGCTGCAAGTGGTAGGGATGGTTGCTAGGGAGATGCTCTCAGCTGTCAGGTGCTATATTGAATGAAGAATATGTGTTTTGTAGGTGAATACTTAACAGAAATAGTCATTGAACTTGAATAGTCTTGCCTAGAATCCTGTTTAAGATGCTAAAAGTCCATCCAAGAACACTTTGCCTGAAGAGCTGTCGTGTCAGGAGCAAAAAACAAAGCTGTTCTTTGGAGTAATTAGAAAAAATAGCACAAAACCACAAGGTTGTGTCTGGACAGTGATTACGAACAAGTGTCACATGCTTAAAATGTCACTAAAGAAAGATCAAAAGACGGCATTTTCCCCCCTGGTGCTGTGAGCTGGCAATTTGCACCGCGTGCTTACAGTTCTATTTTAAGGGTGTTTTTAATTACTTCCATGTTAGTGTTCCTCTACTGTTTGGTTCTCACGTGAGAGGAAACTCTGACACTGTTTGGCAGTGATTTGTCCTTTGTTGGTCATTTTGGTTAGCTGCATTAATATTGGAGTAGTTCACATATAGGTAGGATGGGGAAACTAAATAAAACTCCATTTTTGCAGGCAGCTTCCCAGGTTTCTGAAGTTTTAAAAATGGGGTTTTGGAATCTGCAGTGAGAGTTTATTTGGAAGGCAGAATTAAAAAGCACATGGAGAAACTATGCAAAATTGGGGACGTATATGCATACTTCCTAAGAGAAAATCAATCTCAGAGGAAGGAGTTTAGAGCAAATCCAAAGTGTAGAAGGTTACTTTGTTGGGGTTTTTTTTTTTGGTCTGGTATTAACATCTTTTCTAGCCAGGAAGTGTATGTTGATTGAAATGGCTACGTTCTGAATGCTGCTGTAATTGTAACTTCTATTTGGCAACCAAGTGAAAGCTGTAACTGTTTGGCTTAGAAGCCTGGATTTAGTTCATTCTGCCTCCCTAATCCCTAGCTGTGCTTTGGGGGAACATGATGCTACTTCTGCACCATGGGGGCATGGACAGCGTTATACTTGGCTGGCCATGAGTGATTCCCTGCCACTGAGTACTGCATGTGCGCTGTTTCCGTGGGAAATTTGGTGTGCCTGTGGGCAGTGTTCAGCAGCCTGTTTTCCTGGGGCAGCTGGGATATTGGGTTGGACCGTCCAGACTACTATCATGACATCCAGACCATGTCATAATTTTCTACTAAACCAAAATCCTTCCTGTAAAATTTCAATTTTCATCTTGGTCTTCTGGTTTAGTTACTTTTCAAAATATTCAAAGTCAAACAAAAAACCACAAAAGCCCCTTCCAGCGTTCTTCCCCATAACAAATGTGGTATTTGCAAGCCAAACCAGACATTTCTTTCTTTCTGTTTTTACTCTTTATCCCCTAATCCTGCATTTTTTCTTGGATAGAACCCTAAGAAATGAAATGTATGCAAAACTTTGATGTTCCCAGAATATCTTCCATGCATTCATATTTTTTTTGGAAAGTAAAAAGTATACCCACTCACTCCACAGTGAGACTGTTGAAGCAACATCTGCTTTCCCAAAACTTAGTTGCTTCCGTTTCTACTGTTGGGGCATGGTTGCTGATACAGCCTGCTGGGCTTGATCCTTATAGCCTTTTTGCTCAATGCTCTGCCAGCTGCAGCTTCTTCTCACTGCTTGTTGGTGCCAAGAGCTGCTTGTGCACATTGTCCCCCACCCACTTGCACCAGAATGAGATAGGCTAGGAGAAGGTGATGGTTTAGCTGAATTTGGCTTGTTTCCATTAATGCAGAGCTGCAAAGCCAGGTCTTTATCCAGGTCTTCACACATGTGAGTTATATATATTTCTGTAATATTGCTAAGCATGCTGTTTGATGGGGGCTGAGTGCTTGAAGGTACAGGTGTGCACACATTTAGGATTGTGAGTCTGAAAGGCTTTGCATGCTTGGGATAGCTAATGTGAAAACCAGCTTGTTGCTAACTTTGGAGTGATGTGTTTGACTTGGGGGACCTTGATATGGTATTTCAGTAATCTTGGGAACCAGAGCCCTGTCTCTGCTCTCATCCAAGGAATGATGATTTTCTTTCTGGCACTGTGGAGTCTTGCAGGAGAATAAAGTTATCCTGGAAGTAGATGCTCCTCTTGTAGATGTAGCTTTGCTGTGCTGGAAAGTCTTCTGGAGGATTTAGTCAAGAACTTTGGAAGGCTTCTGCTTTGACACAGTCTGACAGTTTGGTGCTAGGTAATAGCTGTGTTTTCAGTGGGTATTGTTTGGTATACTATTAATTTGAGAGGGAAGTAACAGGGAAATTTCCTTCTACAGAAGGAAATTGTGCATAGTTATTCTCAGTTATGAAAGGAAATTGAATATGAAATTGCACTGATGTTTGCAGTGCAAGGTAGCCAGCTTGACTGCTATTCAGAATATTTTTCTTTTAGAAAATAAATACTTTTTTATATATTTTACAAAGAAGATGTTTGAACTGTGAAGAAGACTCTGCTGGAGTTTACTGAGACTCTGAAATATTATGAGTTGCTCTGTACAGCATGCTAGGGTATTAGTGGGTACTAAGTCATATATATCTGTGCTGGTGACTCATGTTTATCAGTGTCCTTAAAACGCTGGAGACAGTCAAGGATGTCTCCATTAAAAGCTCATGGCAGAGTTGAGTTGTTGCTGTGTTATTTTCTTTAAAGGCAGCAATGTCAGCCTGAAATACCTGAGCTTTCTGAATCTGCTTTTCCCATCAGCTTAAGTGTTATCTGCTCCCACTTCACCTCCTCAAGTCAATACTGCATTTATAAAATGGAGGGGTTATTTAAGTCTGTCTTTTGAGCCTTACATTAGAAACTCACTCCTGTAAACATTAAAACATTTCAACTAATTAGAATAACAGTTTCTATGGTCTTAATCTAGGATGAGTAATTGATATTAAAAGTTATCTTTTTCTAGCATGACAGCTACTGTGAGCATGAGGCTGACAGTAGGAAGGAAATGAGGAGGCTGCCATGAGGAAGGAAAGTGTTAGATGGGGGGGAGAGGGAAGATAATTTTTCTTGTCTCTAGAAGATCAAAGTATTTGCCTCTTCCACCTTATGGGCACTTGGCAATTAAAGACTCAGTCCAGATAAATCTTTGTTTCTGAGGTTCAGTTGAAGACTGTGGGGATGGGAGGTGCTCGAAGAGATCTCTGCTTTCAGACAGTATTTTCTGTGCTTGGTAATAGCAGAAGAGTGAGCACCAGGCATAAGTTACAGAGCTTGACTTTCACCTCCCAGCTGGTGCTCAGAGTTAAGCATTTGATTTGCTTTGTGAATTACAGGCTTTAATAAAAGAATCTGAGAGCGAGGAAATCCTGATGTGGCAGAGATTCTCCTTGTACAGCATCAGCTTTTGGCTCTGAAGGGTTGTGTAGTAAATAACTGAATGGGAAATTTTGCTGCAGCTAACACAATTAATTTGTTTAATGTTCATAAGTTTGGCAATATTAATGTGTGTTAGGGTACAGTCTTTTATGTGGATATGTAAGCAAACCAGCAGCCTAGGGAGGGGAGTAGTTTCTGGTAATCTAGTCTAGCTGATCCTGAGTGTAAGATAAGCACAACACTTGCTGAAACAGCAGAAGGAAGCCCTTGATAAGACCAGTTTCAGCTGGTCTTGCAGTTACAGAAGCAACCAATTGGGCCAAAGGTGACAAGGGCATCATGAAGAAGACTTCTTACTTCATCCCAGAGACCCCAGCCCAGGACCACCAGAGAGCAATGCGCAAGCGCCGAAAGGAGAAGATTTAGGATAATGAGTTCCTGGAACTAATTGTAATACATACTGCCTGTCCTTGCAAAAACTATGAATATGTAACAATATGGGAGATAAAAACGAGCCTTTGGAGAGCCAGAGTTGAGCCACAGAGGAGGAATCCCCTGTGAAGCTCCCAGCGCTGTAAATAAAATGTTCTTTTCTCCACAGACTTTGCCCCTGGCTAAAATTGAAGAAGTGAGCTTGTTTCTCACAGTTGTAAGCAGCCCTAGAAGTAGCTGCTCTTTTGCTTTTTGCAGTAGTTCCCAACGAGTTCCCAAAATGCAGTTTTCCTGAAGTCAAGTTGTATCTGAACATTTGTTTCTTTTAATGGTACCAGCTACTTTGTGCTTTTTAAAGAAGGTGGACTCAGATGTAACAACAGTAAATGGAACAACTGAGCAGGAGGTTTGTTTCTGTGAATGTTTTGGTTAGACTTGTATCAATGGAAGTTGTAGCCATTCATTTGTCTCTAATACAGTTTAGTTTATTCTGCCACCCAGGCAGATGCTGACAGCTTGAAGGTGAAATCCGAACACTTCAACCAATAAAACTTGGTTTTGGTGGTGCATTTACTCATTCTGTGCTGAACT